TTCAACCTTCGGAAAACAAAGCCATTCTGGAGTTGGCAAAGCTTTACAAAGTCTCCATCATCTGAGACAGACTGAAGATGGCGAAGGTATGTTTATGTGGTAAAAAAAGAACAGAAATGACTTTCTCTGAGAAGGGAAAGCAAACAAACTAATCAAAAGGACTGACCAGTAAGGTCTCAGGAGAGCTGCAAGTTTTTCCATGGAATACCATCTCAAAGTTGCAATACCATTTCCTTGTCTTGCTCCAAAACACTCTAGCCAATAAACTCCCTCTTCTCTCACCATCATCCACTACTAAATGCATATTAAATAAGGAAACGTACTCAACCTTGGTGGAAAATGGGGTTCAACAAGACAGACATGTATACATGGGAATACATGACTAGGTGTCAAAATCAGTAAAGTGACAAAAAGTGATGAGTTTAGGGAAGAGGGATCATTATGAACAAAAGTAGTCAAGGAATGTCTCTGCACAGGACAGGTCTGAGATATGCTCAGAAAACCAAGCGGGTTCTGAGAAGCCCGACATCAGAAAGAAAAAAAGAGTGCAAGAGGCCAAACAAAAGCTCAGAGTGGACTGAACAGATTCCTTAATGAGGAAAACAGAGAGACTGGCTTGCTCGGAGTCAAGGGCTTTTATTCTGGATGGAGTTGGGGATAACCTTAAGTACCTTGTCAAGTTTAACTTTATTTTTGAAGACAATTTTAGACTTTAAAGGCTTTTGGAAGAATGTATCTGTAAACTCCCACGGAGTTAACTTCAGGAAATGGAAAATATTCTAACTCTCCCACAGCGCTCAGCAGTAGAGAATAGTAGTTAATGCATGTTTTGGAGTCACAATGATGGCCTGGGTGAAGTCCAGTATCTCTGCTACCAAGTAACAGTGAGGCATGGAGCAAGTTACTTACACTTTTTCAGACCTGTTTCCTCACTATAAAAAGGTTGCCATGGGGAATAAGCTCCCACCTAGAGCACTTAGAATAGTCCCATGACCAGCACGTGGTAAAAATATATAAGTACTTGATCTTGTTTAGAATTATCATGAGGTGACGACTCACTTTAAGTTATCAAACAAAATATAGAGATAATCTCATCTGGTAAGATGTATTACCCGAAATTCAAAAAACCAGGCATTTAATTATTCCCTGCAATGAATCACAAACTTTTGGATATTGTTATTGTCTTGCCAAGACTGTGTCTCAACTTTTTCTTTGAGATTAAGTGTATACATCTTACCAAGAAGTGCTTTACTGAAAAGGGAAAGCGCATTGGCCAGGGATTCCAGACACTTTGATTACACTGGGTAAAGTGGAATTTCAAGGATCTCAAATGTAAAATAAGGTGTGGGTGGCCTTTGCCAAGTTTGTAGTTCTATTGATGTTACACAGTGGCAGTGCACACAGCTCAGGTTAACTAACACAGTAAATGCTGAAAAAGGAAACATATTACTAGATACAAATTTAACTTCCTCAGAGAGAGAGGTCTAAAACTATTTAGGGACTGTGGGTGTGACTTTAGCATGCTGAATTGACTTTCTTAAGGAAACGAAATTCTGATGGGGCTGTAGCAACAGTCTTGCCCTGGGATGGCGGTCTTTCCTACAGCACAGTGAAGGCCTTAGTACTTACTGCTAAATAATTCTTTGCCCTCCCACAATCTAGTTATCCTGTGGCTAATATGCCTTAATGTGACACTGACAGATTTTAGTGTGGACATCTGATTGCCCCTGCCCCACAGTCATTCCCTCTCCCAGAATACAGCAACAATTGTTCCCTGCGTTGTCTTTATCAATGGATAGGTTTTTAGTTGTTTCTCACTACTGTCACTGTGGCTGTTATTTGTCACACTGCCTGACACCCATTAACGGCACCCTCTTTGCTTTTTCCCTTTCCCATCTCATGTCTCTCTCAGTACTTGTGTTCACAGCTGCCATCTTTCTAACGGCATCAAACAGCTCTGGCCATCCCATCAGATCCCCTCCCTCCCTTCCCATGGGAGACCTATACTCATGGTTCTGAGTGCTCATTGTTAGCTACCCAGGACTGCCTATTGAGAGCAAGAGCGTGAATCAGAAATCAGAGAACCCAGGTCTCTGTCACCATTCTGCCACTTCTAAGTTGTGTGACCTCAGGTAAATAGGATGCTTCTTAGTGTCTTTTAAGGTACAATATGTACACTATCCATTTGTAAGGACTGAAATGAGAAGTAAATGAGTGCATGAAAGGGTAAAACTAAAGGGTACTCTGGAATGGTTTCAACTCCTTCTAGAAATGAAGAAGTTGTTCCAGAAGCCCAAGAGTGCTGGAAGGCTGACCTCCAGAGAGCCAAAATTTTTTTTTATTTAATCCACTAAAGACCTGTGAGGAATTCTGAACCTCATGCCCAAATAAGCTCTCCAGAGTAAGAGTATTTCTTGCACTAAGCATATTTATATAGAACTCTTCAATTAAAAGATGCATTATTTATGCGGTTTCAAAAATAACATTCCTTTTCCTTCTCATAAAAATGAAAATATAGAAAAGCATTTTAAAGTCACCCATATCCCACTACCAAATGATAAATATCATAACGTTTATGAAGTTCTAGGCTTTTTTCTGATTAACTTTTTAAAAAAACGTAACATATTACATATGTACATATTATTTAGCAGCTGGTCTTTTCCATGCAATAATATATAAAACATATCCTCAGTATTCCAATTCTTAGAGAAAATTTTAATCTATTCCAAATGTATTCACATATAGGATAATGATCTAAAAAGGACAACAGAGGCCAACACAAAATTTTATGCATCACACTTTGACTAATTTTAGAACCCCCAGAAAGAGTTCAATGTTTATAACAAGAGGAACTTTTATATGCTGGCAGAATTTAATACACAGGTAAATGCAAAAATACTAGAAAAGAAAGCTGAGTATATATAAGTAAATTCAAAACTTTCAATATCATATAGACTGTATCATCTACAATGTCAAAATTTTCCCTCAATTGACACTTTTTAAGATATACTTAAGATGTTAACAAATTAATAGAAACCATGAGTTTTATTAATAAGCAAGACACTCTCTACTGGTAATTGATTAGAGTTACTGCCTTCACTGTTTCTCAAGTCAAATCTGCCACAGAAGCAAAAGAATTCTAAGAGAAAATAATGATAAAATTTGTTTCTATAAGGTGAAAACCAGTTGGTTATGCATCACTATAAGTTAAACTGCGGAAATATCAGAATCACTGATCATAATGGCCCACCTGCAACTTTAAGGAGTTCTACAAAACATGGGCATAATTTGTTTCATTATGAAGAGAATACAGGCAGGAGAAAAGCAAAGATTCTCTCCTATTTTTAATAAACTGGGGAAACTATCAAGAAAACGTACTCTTAAAAAAAAGCCTGAGCCCGCGGGTTCAAGACCTGCCTGGGCAACTTGGCGAGACCTCATCTCTACAATAAACCAAAAAATCAGCCGGGCGTGGTAGCGCATGCCTGTAGTTCTGGCTACTCAGAGGGCTGAGGCGGAAGGATCTCCGGAGCCCGGTAGGTCGAGGCTGCAGTGGCCGGGAGCGGCCACTGCACTCCAGTCTGGGTGACAGAGTGAGACTCCAACTCAAAAAAAAAAAGTCATTACTGGTCTTTTGCCCTTAGATAAATACTAGTATGCATTTTCTGTTTTAAAATATTGATGACAAAGATAGAAAGTAGACTGCCAGACTTAGGGTAACGTACACAAGAACTTCAACAAACCAAAGAGAAAAAAAACAATGAACAAAGGATTTGAACAGTCAAGACACATAAGAAATTCAAATGATCAATTAACACAAAAAGACCTTCAATCTCACTAATAAATACATTTAAACAGAGACTATTTTCTGCCTATGATATTGATAAAAATTAAAGAGACAGAAAAATATGGAAAAACAAACATATCAAACTCTTGAAGGGCAATTTGGCAGTAATACCTAAAGTTTAAATACACTATGTCCTCCCAACAATTGTGGTTTTATGAACTGCTCCAACAAAAATCATAGTCTGAGGCATCTAGACAATATATACAACCATGTTCACAGAAACATTACTGGTAACATAAAAACTAGAAAATACCTAGATGGACTTATCACTTAGAAAATGGTTAAGTAAACTATGCTATGTCCATACTAAGAAATTTTATTCAGCTTTAAAGAGAACCACATGGATATTAAAATAATAACATGGAGGATATTTATGATATACTGTTGGATAGAAAATAAAGCAAACTGCAGAACCATAAATATCATGAGTTCATTTGTTGTAGAAAATAAAAATGATAGTGATAGTTATAGTTATAGCTCTCTCTGTATTTTTAAATTTCTTTAACTATGTACAGAAAATGATCTGAAAGGATAGACCCTAAACAGTTTTTAATGTTTCCCTCTGTGATTATGGATATTTGATGGCAAGGCAAGGAGAACTAAGTTTTTTTATTTCAATTTTTGCTATAAGCAGATGTATTACTTTCACAATTTAAAAATAATCAATACAGTTCTTTCAAAAAATTAAAATGCAATATAGTATCACACTGAAATAAAAAAAAAAAAAATTACCTCAGGGCAGGGCATGGTGGCTCAAACCTATAATCCCAGCACTTTGGGAGGCTGAGGTGGAAGGACTGCTTGAGCCCAGGAGTTCGAGACTAGCCTGGACAACACAGTGAGACACTGTCTCTAGAAAAAAAGTTAAAAATTAGCCAGGCATGATAGTGCACACCTGTAGTCCCAGTTACTTGGGAGGTTGAGGAGGAAGGACAGCCTGAACCCAGGAGGTCGAGGCTGTGGTAAGCTGTCATCATGCCACTGCACTCTTACCTGGGCAACAGACTAAGACTCTAACTCAAAAAAGAAAAAAAAAAATGTATCTCAGCACATATACTAGTAAGTTAGGCAGTTACATGCTTCATAGTTAAGCTTGGTAGATACAGCATAATCAATATGATGACTAAACATCAAATATGAATATCCTGCTTACCTCTTTAGGTGATAAATTTTGTGTGTATACTGTCCCTTTTCTCCATCCTTCTCATAAGGTTCATTCTTTAAGACTTCGATTCCTTCTCCACCACCAGTCTCATTCTTACTAGCTTCTGCAACAGAGTAAAGCTGCCCAACCTGATACTGAAATTTCAAAGAGCACAGAATTTCAGTCAAGTCAGTAATTGCAGAAATTTCCTATGCTAAAATCTTAACACAGACAGTATAGAAAAGCATATCCAAACCACCCGGCATGACTATGTTCTTTATGAAAACATGACTCAAATTAGAAATTATGTTTAGGATTACAAATATCAGAATAACAGTTTTAAGAAACACTGTATTTTACAGAATCTCCATTATTCAAAAAAACTGCCAGATACAAATACTCTGTTGCTACTATACTATCCAATTATCAAGAAAATGTCCTTATAATGTTATTGTGACTTGTAAGAGTGATGCTGTTAAATAAGAATAGAACAACACATTTAATAACAAAACCTCTTTAAAAAGAAAAAAAACATGTCTTGACAGCTGGTTCAACTTTCTAACAAAAAACATTTGCACTTTGTAAAGTATTTTTCACATCTCATTTAATTTCACAAAATTCTGAGAAAGGTATATCAGGAAGATAAGTTTCACTTTGCCAATTAAAGCTAAGCAACCAGAATATTGTTCTCAATGACATAAAGTGTACCAACAAAAGCCTGACAATCCAAAGAGCCATGACAGTCCAAATTTCAGTAGACCTCTGAGGTCTTTTCTCCCCCATGGCTTATGTATGACATGCCTAATTCGGCCCTTACTCAGCTACCAGAAACAGTATTGGGTGCCCAGTAATCTATGAAGTTTCCCAGAAAACAGAAACTTTTAGAAAAGTAACATAAATATTCATGTATTACCATGAAAGGCAAGAAGTTGTGACAGTAGTTTCTACTTCATTTAAGGTGAACCAAAAATCTCGGTGTGCATTAATATCTGTGAGTCAGCAGTATTGTTCTATGCTAATCTGGAACCACTAGTTCCAACAAATGTAAAAAGCAAAATTCTTGATTTGTTCCAGTGACCCAACTATGGCACTCTGTCCAATCTTTTTAAATTTGGCTAAGTCTCTTCTTTCTAATATAGGTGGCCTAAAGAGATGTTTATCTTCTTTGTAAGCAACTTTTCAAAGAAAAACTACAAAATTCCACCTCTAAGTACTTGTAATTCAAAACTAACATTTTTAAAGACAAAACAACAGAGGTAGTTGTAAGTTCAGTAAATATTCACATCTAAAAATCTCATGGAGACATGATGCTATCTTGCAGGCTAAATTAAATTTAAACATACACACTCCCATATACATAATCTTACTCAATTTGGAAGAGTTTAGAAAAATGAAACAAACTTATTTCTTAAATGCTCCAAAAATAAACTTCCGTAGGGACTGCAGAGAGAGCCATATTTCTCCTTTTGGCTTTCCATGATACAACACTAGGGTTAGTCTAATAATACCACAATCCTTAAATATTGCCAAAAATTTTCAATGCCATCATATTCTAAAACAGGAGTAAAATGTCTCTAAACCTAAAGGTAAATTTCATTTTAATTGAGAACACACAGCAACAAAAATTCACATAGAAACAACAGTACCCCAAAAAGGTTATTAATGGACTGACATTTTGTGGCACGCTACTAGGTTTTCTCTCATTCCCATTTTTTAAGAACAACAAACAGACACAGAAGGCATGTTTTTTTAAATCTGAGTATAACAAAACTCTGAGAAGACTATTTTCTGTGACTCAGAAAGATTTCAACAAGCTGATTCGACCAGCTGAAACCAAAAGAAAAAATTTAACAGAAACAAATGTCTATTTTCCACATTCAAGTTCAAACAATCAACCGTGCAAATAAAGAATGGGGGTGCCTGGCTTTTCTGGAGTGTGTATTAATACAGTGACTCCTCAGGCACTACTGCGATATATACAGCTGTGTCCAAGTCAACACTAAACAGTGCCAGACAGTTTTCCTTAGTTTCTGCATTTCTTTCTTTCTGTCTTCCGTCAGCTGTCACTTCTTAGGTTATCAGTTTGTTTTGTCCCACTTCCAATTCACTGCTTCTGATCTACTGTCAGCTCTAGGAAAACCAGATAACTGAGCAAATAGGAACTGTGTGCAAGCTACAGAAGAGCTCAGATGGTTTTATGGATTTTGCTAAACATCTTGGTTTTCAGGACCCCTTTCTGCTTTATCCTCATTCTTGGCTATACTAGTGAAGGCTACAACTGCATGACATGCAAGCTCTGAATAGGTGATGTATTACTATGTGATGTACAGATCGAGGAAGACAGTAAGCTCTCAGTTACATGTTGGTCAGACCATGTCTGGAATACTGTTTTCACTTCAGATCAACAACTACAATATATGTAGTAATGAGACCAGCTGGTGAGGAAGTCTGCAGGTCATGTTATATTAAGCCAAATGAATGTGCTGGGAATTTAAACTTGAAGCCGTTTAAAATGAAGCAAAGAGCTTGGGGGAGGAGTTGGATGGGAACTACCATCAGAAAACCTGAAGGGCTACCATATGCAAAATAAAACAGGCTGATTTCCAATTATTCAAGTGGGAGGAACTGTAAGCAATACTCAAACATTATAGGAAAGCAGATTTTGGATTACAGTAAAGACAAATGTTTAAAAAGTCCAACAGCAAAGTAGGCTGCTCTTCTACACAGCAAGCTGTTTAACCGTAAAGTACTTAAGCTGAGGCTGGAGTCTCATTTCTCAGGGATATTGTAGAAAGAATCTCTGCACTAGACAGGAAGTTAAACTATCGAAGTTTAACTTTAGACTCTACCAAAATGAGGCACTGAAATAAGAAATTAATTTGCAATTAATTATCTGTAACATACCCTAACTCATTTTCTCACATGAGCTGGAATGAAAAGGTAAATAATCACTATGAAAATATGAATTCAGATTAATATAACAAAGTAAACTACATATACCAATGGAATGAGGCAGAAGGAAGGACTTACCTCCTGAACAGAACACGGCAAAACCACACGACTAAAAAAGACAAAAGAAAAAAAAAAAGAATAGAGATTACATATGAAAGAGTCAGTTTTAAAACACAGATGTCTAGAAAGTTTTTACCTTAAATCCAAATATACTCTTAAATGCAAAAATACATGAATGTCATTTATGGAATTGTCTTTGCAATGCCTACAGCCCTAAAAGGAGTTTTTAAATTGAGGAACTAAAACTACTACTCCTAGATCTCAATGATCATTTGCATTTAGTGTCCTCATTGTACCAGGACCCCAAATAGCAGTTGCAGAAATTCTTGTGAGGAGTACAGAAACACGAGGAAACCCTGGGTTGAAAACAGCAGGGTACACAATGTATTACTTGCAGACTGTCTATCAGGTTGCTCCCGTGAAATTTTTAGCATGGTTTCATTCTCCATCTATATATTATACATTTTGTTTTTATGATGTTTCTCACAGAACACGTCTTGAATCGCATGATAAATGCTTCCAGAAACTCTTCCCCCACTACCCAATTATTCCTAAATTTCAGAAAATAAAAATAAGGGACCCTTTACAATTAATAAGAAAAACTTTGCCATGGAAACTACACTGGACTTTATAAATACAATATCCCCTACTAGGATAGTTTCGATATAAGGTTGGTATGTGTTTGATCCTGTTGAAGAGTTTGTTATTTTACCTCCAGACTTTCACAGGGAGATTTCTTAACTTTTTTCCACCATAAATTCTGTAAAACCAAGGCCATCCCTGTATATCAACTGTCTCATAATTAACTATAGCTGGTTCCAAGACAGCACTCCCTTTAGGGGACAGGGTCTAGTCCTTCTCAATTTCTTCTCTCCTAATGTTATTTGATTGTCATTTTATAGAAAATTTCTAATAGTTTTCCTAATTCCAATTTATCTTATTTTTTTCTCACAGCAACAATCATTTCATTTATTGTTTGTGGCAATCTTCTAGACATAACCATTCTTAGTTAGCATCTTTTTTATATCTAAAAATGAAGAAGGTAATATAACCCAGAATACTACATCTAGCTTTCATTCCAGTTACACTTTCCACCCACTTCCTAGTCTCCTGAAACATCTATGCCTGAATGAGCACATCACCTTAATCTCCAACATATACAAAACATGTCTCATGTTATTCTCTCCTCCTTGACTATTGGGAGTCACTTATCATTCCATCTTTCTGTTAACGGTGATCCAAAAGCAATGAACATTCTCAAAGTAATACTGGATAGTAATTTCTATTCTTTATCAAGAACAAACGTATAAGTCCTTCCATACCTAAAATTCTACTCATCTTTGTCTCTTCAGGGGACACACTAAATCTTTGTCTCTTCAGGGTACACACTAAGCATAAACTGAAGGAGGGGAAGCTAGAAAGATATAGGTTGGGAGCATATTTTCAGGGCCTGGAATACTATGGTAAAAAATTATTAAATTCATTAGGCAATAAGGAATGCTAGCAGATTGTTTCAAAGGTAAGTTGACACCTATAGCTGACCCAAAGAAGTCAGGTAGTTAAAAACATTAAGAAGGAGCATGGGGAAAAGCCATCTTTTGAGAGGCTAGGAAAGAATGGAGAGGGAAGAGTTAAAGTCTTCCCTAAAGTGTCACAAAACCAAAGAATCACTGCTGAGGAATGTTAACAGATACTCACTTAGCAGGAAGATCTGTTTTTATTTTTTCAATTTTGGTTTTCTCGATTTCAATTAATTTATTATTTATCTCAAAAAAACTTCTTTCACAAAATGAAAGTGACGATTAAGACCTTCTGAGCAATGAGTCAAGTAAATTCTTCAAGATTTGCTTAATAAAAAGTAAAAGTAACATACAGACTTTGATTTTCCATTATTATTCTAAGAAGAGTGTTCACTTTTAAAGCAATTAGAAAAATATCATATATCTCTGAAAATCGTCATGAAAATCATTTTCCAAATTCAACCAGCCAGCAACCAGGACTTCACGTTAATGGCAACTTCATCTACTGCTCAAGTAATAACTTGAAGGAACTCACTCACCACAAAAGTCATCTTTAATCTTTCAATCATTACCAGAAGTAGACGGAACTTTTCGACAACAAACAAATGCCAAGGTGTGTTTTAGTTTACTGACATCTTCATGCAGGAATGACCAAGCAATGAACCAAGCAATAGAAACTGGACTTGAGAAGGAAGAGCCAGGGCAAGTGTGGCGGCTCATGCCTGTAATCACAGTACCTAGAGAGATGGAGGCAAGAGGACTGCCTGAGCCCAGGAGTTTGAGAACGGCCTGGGCAACATGGTGAGACCTCATCTCTATAGTACCTTTTAAAAACAGCCAGGCATGGTGGTACATGCCTGTAGTCCTAGCTACTCCAGAGGCTGAGGAAGGATTGGCTGAGCACAGGAGGTTGAGGCTGCGGTGAGCCTGGGCAACAGAGGAAGAGTCATTTATTCACTCAACAACACTGAGTACGTACTGTGTCCCTGACTAGATGCTGTGCCGGATACTGGGAGTACTTAATTCAATAAAATAAGTAACAGGCTCTACCTTCAAGAAGTCTAGCAGGCCACACACAGTGGCATGCCTGTAATCCTACCACTTTGGAAGACCACATGGAAGGACTGCTTGAGCCTGGGAGTTCAAGACCATCCTAGGCAACATAGCAAGACCTCATCTCCACAAAAAAATAAAAAAATCAGCTGGGTGTGGTGGCACATGCCTATAGTACTAGCTACCTGGGAGGCTGAGATGGAAGGATCACCTTAGTCCAGGAGGTCAAGGCTGTGGTGGGCTATGACAGTACCACTGCACTCCAGCCTGGGTGACAGAGTGAGACCCTGACTCAAAAAAAAAGTCTAGGATTCAAAAACCCAAAAAACCTAAAGGACATATACGTGAGGAGTAAACATCAAGAAATTTAATTAAATCTTTAGAAAAAATAATTAGACTTGGGCACATTTAAACATTCATTACCCTGGTGCATTTAAATTTTTATAATTAATGGTTTACAAAAAGCATAGTGCGTAAATTCCCTATGGGAATTGCTTGTCGTGAGTTAGCTTGATACTACTGACATAACTGTCAAAAGGATCTACTGAACACTTAATTCACATCTTTGGAGAGTGAAAAAAAGTCTAATAAAAGAAAAATTACTAGATGTCTGATCTAAGATCAGTTCTGCAACTCACATGCTACGTCACTTGAGCCAAGTCCATTTCCTTCTGTCTTATTTGCTCCATGTATCTGTCTTAATGTCTGCCACGCACCTACCTACATCAGATATATGTCAGAGTAATAAATGAGATAACACCTGCATGATATACTGTATATAAACAACTTGGAGGTTTTATATAAATCCAATGTTCAGTACTACAGATAAGATTTGATTGCAAAACTTCACGCTACAAAAGGCAGAAATACATCTTTTTCTCAAAATCTCTGACACTGACCAAAGTTACAACTTTTCATCAATTCATTAACAAGTACTTATTGAACCTATTATGTGCCAGGAACTATTCTAAAAGTTGGGGATATGGGATTGAGCAAAACAGATAAGTTCAGGGAGCTTACATGTAGAAAGAGAATATATCTAGTAGAACAGAAAAAATAATAAATTAGGTTGCATGTCAGCTGGTGGCAAGAGCTATGGAGACCAATAAAGCAGGGAAAGCAAATACAAAATGGTGGGAGTTGCAGTGAGTTCTTCAGAGAGGGATTCCCCTGAGAAGGTCACATTTGAAGAAACCACAGAAGGAGGTGGGTTAGTGAGCTATAAGGGAAGAAGAACACTTCAGGCAAAGGGGACAAAAGCAGGTGGAAAAGCCTTGAGTTGAGCTTATTCCAGAGTAGTGGACGAACAGCAAGGAAGCTTGGGAGGCTGGAATGGCCAAGGGAAAGGTAGAAAATGAGCTCAGAGCAGAAAAGAAAACACTGTAAGGCCTCGTACGCTGTTGTGGAGGTATTAACTTTTATTCTCGGTGAGAGGGGGGTCCTAGGAGGGTATTAAGCAGGGAAGTGACATGAGTGACTTTTTAAAGGAGGGGAGAGAACACTAAAAATAAGGTGCCTGAAGATGACTAAATTAAGTCAAAAACATTTTAAAGAATTTAACACCAAAAGAGAACCAGAAAAACAACAAAGAACAAGCCATACCCCAAATCCCCAGTTGCCCAAGGGACGTTGACGACAGGAGCCAGCTGTGACAGCTGAACATTCACTGCCAACCAGATTTCCCGTGATGTCCGCAGTCCTTGCCAGGAGCAAAAACCGTTAACTTTTCACCAAATCACTAGGCCGGCCTGAGGCACCTGGACACCCTCCCATTTGACAGACCACGTGTTAACGCCCCACCTCAACCCCTTGAAGTAGGTGGGGCCCAGGATGTCACCTCATCTTAAAAGAGGCGGAAACGAAGACTCGAGCAGAGCAAAGGCTCTCCCGCCGGGCCGACTGGGCCGCCCAGGGCAGCGCGGGCCTCCGGACCTCTGGCTCCCGCGTGAGCTTCGGGGCGCCCGGGTCCCACCTCGAGTCCTCGCACGGAGGCTGCCTTCACCGGCAAGCCCATCTCCCGCCAGTTACAAGCAGACTCCACCCCAGACGACAAATCACTGTCAGACCCAGCGTGTCTCGCCCACCCTCGGACGGAGGCTCTGTCGCACACGCGGGGCTGGGGGTAGACCCAGGCCAAGACCCACACGGGGGGTGGGGTGGGGAGGGGCGGGAGAAGGCGGTCCAGCGGAAACTCCCAGCCGCGCCTTCCCCAGTCATGCGCTCGGGCCCGGACCCAGCCGCCTGCGCCCCAGGGGAGAGGGCGGTCGTGTACCTGCGATAATGCCTGGAAGGTCGGGGGGCGCGCCGCGGAGAGGCCTCGAGTGGGCCGGGGGCGCGGGGCCGGGAGCAAGGGGCGCGCGCAGGGAGCCGCCGGCCCGGCGCTCACTCCTACCATTTCTCAACCAGTAAATCTCCCATCGCCGCCGTCCCCGAGCCTCACTCGCGCCCACGGACCTACTTACAATTCCTTAATCAGCACCATCTTCCCGGAACCCTCTCCCAGCTGCCGCCGCTACGCCAGCCACCGCCGCCGCTACCGACTCGCACGACGCCTGCGCGACCCGCCCCCTGCCCCCAGGGCCACGGCCGCGCCTGCGCACCGACACCCTTCCGCCGCGACGCGTCGCGTCAGCGCGCGATGGGAGCTAGCTCCGCCCAGTTTCGAGCTCCACCCCGGGGCACGAGGCCTCCACTGCGGCTGCGCCGCCTGCCGGCGCGCGTCCGACTTCTACTGCGGCTGCGCACGGTCGGCGCGCACACGCTCTTCTGCTTTCTGGGGCTCCTCCCTCCAGCCGAGGTCCCTCGGGGCGTCTGTGCAGTCTGGGCTTTCCGGTGAGTTTTGCAGTCGGTTCCCAGGAGGCCGCTTGGCGGTGGCCGGCTTTCGCCTCTCTCCCGCTGCGCTGAACGGGGCCCACCTTGTTGACCAACACCTCATTTCCACAGTCCATGTGAAGGTTCTGGAGGCCGCCGCGCCGGGTTCCCGGCCTCCTGCCCCAGCCCCGTCCGCTCAGATTCCGCGGGAGGGAGGATGTTCCAGAACCCCGAATCCGAAGCCTGGAGAGCGCCACCGTCGGATCAGGCCTCGCCCTGTCGGGCCAGCTGCCGCGGGCACACGAGTTTCGCAAACCCACCCCCGCCCGGGCATCCAGAGTCTCGCTCTGCCTCGGCAGGGTGAGCGGCCAGCGCTCCTCGGGGCCGAGGGGCATTGGCCCTGGAGACCCAGGCAAGGGGCCTGTGCTGGGGTGACTGTCGTGTTACGGACACAGTTCTGGGCAGTGGGGAAACACAGCCCTTGTCCTCGGGAAGCTCACAGTCTAGCGGAGGAGACAATTTAGAAGCAAACAAGGGAGAATTCGGGGTAGTAAGTGTTCTGCTGTGAGTCAAACAGAGTCACAAGGGAGGCAGAAGAGCTCTTAAGACTGTTTAGGAGGCCGGCTGTGAGCAGGGGCCCGGCCCGTGAACGGGGAGGAGCATTCCAGTGGGAGGAAAACAGGGCCCAAGGCTGCGGTCAGCTTAGGGTACCTAAGGAGCTGCTGGAGGGCAGGGGTGGCTAGACCATCTTAAGTGAAGGAGGAGAGTGAGCTGGGACCAGCTGGATTCCTCGGCCATGGCAAAGGATGTATATCCTTGGAACCAGGGGAAGCTGTTAAAAGGTTATTAAAAGAATAGAAATACCATCAAAACTTTTCTGTATAAACTTCTGGCATACCTGATAGTGGGATACACCTACGGAGTTAGGGCTGCCTCAGAAAAAGTAACAGAAGTGAAATATTTGCTAGAAACTTCCTCCTATGGCTGTGCCTGGGAGTCGCTGAGTTTCTGCTGTAGGTGATTGTTAAGTTAGTTGTGGGGGCAGGGATTTGAACCTACTTTTTCAAGGAACTTAGAAGCTGAGAATCCCTTCCATTTATTGGGCACTGTATTTGATGCCAAGTTATGGAGATGCTTTATCTCGTTCACCCTTAGAACAACATGAAATATTCAGCCTCTCAAGTAGCTGGGACTACAGGACTGCGCCAATAAAAACAACAACATGAAATGGTATTTTAGCATGCTTTAGAAAGAGAAAAAGTGAGATTCAGGGAGCCAAGTTTTGGCTTGCGCAAAAATTACTCAGCTTGTAATAGCTGGCTCTACACAGCTTGTTTGTAGAGCCAGGTTTCAAATCCAGGTTCTAAAAACGTCAAAGTCTGGTCTTTTTATTACACTGATTTTCTAGATAAAAGTAAAGTTGGGGCATGCAGACAATCTTTATGACAGTTGTTCTTATTTATGGAAAGAAGCTTGTCAAAATCTAGAGGATATTTAGAGAAAAAGATAGATTTGAATACTATACATTTGGATACTAAAGTTAGGAGGTGTTCTTTAAAGTTCAAGGAGGTAATATTAAGATTAGTTGCCAAATTTATATAATAAGTAGTCATTTTATGTTATAATATCTCCCCAAATGATATGCTTGTTGAAAATATAACTTTTTAAATGTTGTGGGCAAGTTTGTGATTGACATGCTTTGTCAGCCATTAAGAAAACTTACGATGTTTTGGATCACTTCTCTAGCTTTTGAAGTCTTCCCACAAGTGTTCACTAATTCCATTTCTGCATAGCACAGTTCCTGCTTGTAGTACTCAGATGTTTGTAAAATAAGCAAGACAGTATTCTGACTGGAGCATACCTTTGAACCAATATACAGTATAGATAGTACCCCTATCGTATTGTTAAAGAAAAAGTTAACGATACTTGTTAAAGTACAGTAAGGCAGACTCTGAATGCAGAGTGGGCAAGCAGGAATTTATAGCCAAGGAGCAGGCTGAGGGGTCAGTGGATGGAAAATTACTAAGAGGAAACATCAAGCTTGAGGAGAATCTGACCAAAGCATCCTAGCAGAATTCTTGCTGAAGACATGATCAGATATCACCCGGGAGATGGTGGAAGATGAGGAACCTGATCAAATATCAAGGATGAAATCTGATCCTTGATATCTGACTTGACAGGGATTTTGTTAAAACTGGGTTTTACAACTAAGTGCATAGATAAGCCTAGACCTGATTAAAGTTTGGTCAAGCAAAGAACTTTCGTCACTATCAAAAGATTCATATTTAAATACTCAATTGAGAAACACAGGGATAGATTAAGAAAGTAACCAGTTTAGATGTATTTGTTGAGGGAAAGAAAATTAGCTAGGTTGATAGAAAGCATTAAATCTATGTAATTAAACTAAATTATTGTACATTGCATCTACATAAAGAATAAAAATGGCAGAACAAAAGGTTATAAGGGGGGCTGTAGAGAAGGAGGGACAAGAGCCAACACCAAAAATAAGAAAGGAGGACATGCATGGAAAGAAACACATGTGAAGAAAAATATACTGGTGTGTTAACATCTCCATGTGTGACATCTTCTTATGTTACAGCTAAAGATGTTGAATCCTGTGGTACATTTTTGCAAATATGGATATAACTTAATAGTAATTTTCTCTAAGTACAAAAAAAGATCCAGCCTTTCTTTTAAAGCGTGATGTCTCTGGTTCTTTGTTCTAACATTCAGTTCTCAAAAAATGTAACTTGTGTACAGAAGATGTCCAGTTGAATTGGACTAATTCTGCTAGCCTCATATAACCACTGGTTAGTGGTTAGTGCCATTAGTTCCCTCAAATGTGGTTCTGGAGCAAAGAGCTCATTACAGTAAGAATGATGGTAGATGTTACTGAGACAAACTAAAAGATTTCTGAACATGAGCCGTGTGTGAAACTTTTGTGCATTAGTTGATATAGCACAACTCTGGTCCAACAAAGAAATTGGAGCAGTCCTTTAAATATTATAGTTAGCCTCTTTTTTCTCCCCAAAGTGAGTGTTCTTAACCTGGGATTCAAAGGCCTTATGATGGGGTTCCCAGGGAATTTATGAGCCACTGAAATTTTGTACATAGTGTCATGTCTATGGACTTTTGAGGGAGAGGTCTAAAGCTTTCATTTGCCTTGCTTACTCTGCATTTTGCCATCCCATTTCTGTTGTATGTTCTCCCCATTCCAGAATTATCTTGACTGAGAATATTTTCATGAAAACTAGAAATATGTCCAAGAATGCTTTGATTTGGTTAAACATGAGGGTGTAGGTTGTAATAATCTACAACTGTAGGAGAGACCAGGTTAGGCTTTGGAGTAGAAAGACTAGGGCCTGAATCCTGACTCTGCCACTTGCTGCTATGAGCCTTGAGAAAGTGGTTTAATCTTTCAGAGACTCAATATACACATCTCTAAAAGAGAACTACTAATACCTACAACAGATTTGTTTTAAGAAATAAAAGAGGCCAGGCTCGGTGGCTCAGTCTGTAATCCCAGCATTTTGAAAGGCCAAGGTGAGTGGACTGCTGAGCCCATGGGTTCAAGACCGGCCCAGGCAACTTGGCAAGACCTCATCTCTACAATAAATTAAAGAAAATGAGGCCAGGCTCCGTGGCTCACCCTGTAATCCCAGCTCTTTGGGAGGCTGAGGCAAGTGGATTGCCAGAGCCTGCAGGTTTGAGACCAGCCCGGACAACTTGTCGAGACCTCATCTCTACAATAAATAAAAAATTAGCTGGGCATGGTAATGCACGCCTGTAGTTCCAGCTACTTGGAAGGCTGAGGCAGAAGGATCACAGGAGCCATTGACACTGGGGTGGCAGTGAGTGTGCCACTGCACTCCAGCCTGGGCGACAGAGTGAGACTCCAACTCAAAAAGAAAGAAAAAATATGAGGTACATAAAGCACCTATGTTGTACATGACCTGATAGGAAATAGGTGTTCCATGAATGGGAATCATTTAAAAACTTCCAGAGAGCAGGAACGATAATTGAAGATGTATATCCCTTGAGTTAACCACTGAGTTTAATCACTATTATTCTATCGAATGAGTAAGAATGTATGTGTGCATTCATATGTATATTCATGTTGGCTGTAACTGACCTTTTCCCTGCAGTGCATAATAGAGGTTTCTGTTTTTCTGTGTTGCCACTAACATTTAATATTGTCAGAGTTTTTATTTTTTGTCAGTGTATTGGTTTTAAAATACTGTCTCATGTACTCACTTTGTATTTCCTGCAGAGTGAGAATTTTTTTCATGTGTTTACTAGCCATATTATTTCTTCTTCTTCTTTTTTTGTATTTCTGGATTTAAATTCCATGTTGATTATGTACATTTTGAATATTTCTCTCTCTGGGTTGTCCTGTCACTTGTTTATAGATGGATTTCTTAACCTCTGTTGTATTGACATTTTTAGTCAGAGAATTCTTTGTGGAGGATGTTCTGTGCCTTGTAGATGTTTAGCAACACCCCAGCCTCTGTCCACTAGATGCCAGCCATACCCCTCCAATCATGGCAATCAGAAATGTCTCCAGACAAATGCCCAGTGTCCCCTGGGAGGCAAAATTGCCCTAAAGTTAAGAACCGCTGGTTTGCGGTAACTCTGTTGTGCAGAATCATTTATCTTTAAATTAAGAAAATGTTATCTTGCTAATGTTTTTTCAGTTTCTGTTAAATGCCAGGCAAGCCCTAAGTGTTTCAGTTGAACTAATCCTAACCCATTTAATCATCACAACAACATAGGATGCAAGTAC